AAGTTATCTTTGCTAATTAAATTGAATTTTTTTGAGATAAAAAATATAATATACATATAAATATATATTCGCATCAATCTAAAACCAATAAATTCCAAAACTTAGAGAAAACAGTATTTGGGTTGCAATTAGTTGAAAAGTAATAAAATCATTCCAAATTACAACAAAAGTATTCATATGTTCTATTTTGGTTAAAAGCATTGTTAAGTGCAAATGTTGACCATGTTCTTATATAATTTATAGACCTAGAAAATTTACTGAATTACGAATTATACTTATATATTTTAGTCGTATTCAGCTTTAAAATATAATATATATATATATATATATATATATATTTATTCTTCATAAAGAATAAAAACATAAAAAACATATATGCTGGTTATAAAAAAGCTACGTGAAGATGGAAACATGTTTAAAAACTACATTTAAATATAAATTATTTTTCAATGATAATATAAAAGCAAACATACTATTCAATACATTATTCTTTATTATTATAAACTTGAGTTAGATTGTAATATTAATGTGGTGTAAGTGCACAGCTATTATGATTATATATATATATATATATATATATATTCACATTTAGTAAATATGTTAGTTTTTTATTTTAATTATATAAATAATTTTAAATTATACTTTTAGAAATTAAGAAAACTGTTATTAAATTGCAATTTTTGTGTCAAACTACTCAAATTTAGATTTAATTTTTTATAAGTTGTTTTTAAAGCTTAATGGACTTCTATCATGTTGTAGAATAGAAATGTTTGTCCATTCAAATAAGTGAAATGGTCAAACTGATTGATTTCAATCAACTTGGATACACATAGTTTTTATTCTTCATTTGTTTTTATTTTTGTATGCAATAGCTTATATTGGAGCATATCAAACATCACACTTGGAGGATTTTCTTCATGAGATTCCAGTATTTAGATTCTAAAAAAATGTAGTAACTGGAGAGTATGAATAAATGTTGATATTTAAAAATATGAAAATTAAATAAAAATGTGATTGTTTAGATAGAAAACTAAATATAACTACTTTCTTCTTATAGACTTAATAGCAATCAAGTAAATACCTAGGATAGAAATACAATAAAATTTAATGTTCCTCTCATGATGTGTGTATATATATATATATATATATATATATTATGGTTAAGTATGCTATACTTAATTATTAATATTGAGTTATTCATTTTACAACTAAACATAATGTATGGCTATTTAAAAATAATGAATATAATGAAAATTGATAAAAATCATGAAATAATTACGATTTTGAGTATCAATAAAACAAAATTACTTATTCATTCATATTTTCGATTTGAAACTATCTTGTAATATTTCATTAATCAATATTTTCATTTTTCAGTGTATTTTAATCCACAAAAAATCCGTTTTAAGTAATTTATACGAAAATTTTAAATACTTAAAGTTAAACATATATTTTTTAAAATATTGTATAAGAAGTAAGCAAATAAAAAGTTGGATCTACTGAGAATTCATTCTATTTTATTGCTTAGATTCTTGTACATAAAGCTACATTTTTATAGTTATTTCTTATCTCAAACAACTGAACACATACATGTAAACATTTACTTTGACATAAAAATGATTTTGTACTGATTATGTTAGTATAATTGTATTAAAAAACACAATATTAAAAAAAATATTTCTAGAATATAATTTAACCTATTTTGTAAACCACAATGAGTTGTTTTATAATTAGATTCAATCCTATTGTTGAAACCAATAGTCAATCTTAATTTGAATTAAATTATTTGCATAGCTTCAGTTTGTGTTCTAATTTCTATAAATTGTTGTATAACGTTTTTTTTTTTTTTTTTTTTTTTTTTCTTTTCAAATTCAAATCCATTCAATAAAGAATCTTATCACTTGTCCAACAGGGAAAAAGTATAAAAATATAAAAACTCATGATCTAAGAAAATTCTAGTTTTAGAGTATTTTGAAAAGTTTTAAATAAAATTTTGAATGTTTCCAAATAAAATTTCCAATGGTAATGGAACATTGATAAATCGTTGAAATTTGAATGTTTTTGCATCAAGTTTCTATTAAAAGCAATATCCTGACATTCTGAATGCAATAACTGCATGCTCACTTTACTGTTATTATTATTATTCACTAAAACGTAACAGAAGTTAGTATAATTGTTAGAATAATACATGCTTTGCCAGTATGCAACATAATAGATAATCTGATTCAATTTAAAACAAATAAGTAGTGAATAATTACTATTTCTCTGCAAGATTTCAAAACATTTTGAACATATTCTTTCAACCAATGACTTAAACAATGTAAAAATAACATCACCCCATTTTACACTAACATGTACTGTGTCGCAACTTTATTCCCCAAATTCAGTTATGCAGCATGTGTTGTTTGTAGTATTCTACGTATTAACTCACTAAAAAACAAAACTTAGAAACAATCTTACAATCACCTGCATGATCCATTATCATGCAACAAAAGATTAACCAATAATAACAACAACAATAATAAAATTGCTCCAATAATAAGGAGGAATGACGTTGAAGAAGGATTTAGCATTTGTCTGAGTGGGTTTCGGGGCCCTAGATATCTATGAAAGACCCTACAAAATGGCCATGGGATCCTGCACACAAAAAGGGGCCAAATGGCTGCAGGAAAAGCATGGGAAGGTAGGGGGGTATCTGAGTGTGGGACCAGCCACTTGAACTAAAATACTAAGCCTCATGATAGGGAGTCTCTATAATATATATATATATATATATACAGAGAGAGAGATATTCTGCTTCCTCTTCACAGCCCCTTTTTGAGTAGTATATTGGGATGATGCTTAGGAATGACAGTCTCATTACTGTTCCCCTCCCTCTCCTGCATTCCCATTCATTCCCAAAGCCCACAAATGAACTGGGTGTGAGGCACCACCACAACACCAAACGAGAGAGAGTGAGTGAGTGTGAGAGAGACTGCTTTCCTATTCTTATTATAAAGGGAGTTAGCCATCAAAGTGCAACATCCAGCTGGGCTAGGGCTACAGTTCCACACTCTATCTTCCTATCTATCTATTGAGGTCACTGCTGAAGGATATGCCCATTGCAAATGTTTTTTTATTGTGTATTCCTTGAATTGACTTACATATATACCCCAAGTGATGTGGTTGTATGGCACTTTAGATTACTAGGTAGCACATTACTATGAACCAAGTAGCTGCACAGATTTATTTATTTATTTACGTTTGTTTCCTTTTGAAAACCCAGTGGTTAAAACAAAAGCCTTCATGGAAAGAAAAAGGAAGATGATGAGGATTCCTGTGTGGGCAATAACCAACTTCTTGCCTGTGACTTGCTGATGGTACTGTACTATGTTATCTTATGTTATGATTATTTATTTGTTTTTATTTGTTTGTTTGTTTGTTTGTTTGTTTTGTTTTGTTTTTTTTTATTTTTTTATACAGGATTGAAGGTAAGCACACAATTCTCATATGCACTGCACTCTATTGTAAAACTGAATGGGTTTGTTCTTTTATGGTTTTGGATTTTAGCTATACTCTGTTGTGTAAAGGGGTAAAGTAAGTGTGGCTCAATAAGATGTGTGTGTGTGTGTGGGCCCAGGGAATGAGTGAAACATTAGTCAAGCCTATGTGATTCATAATATATATATATATATATATATATATATATTGAAAGAATGATTAACTTTTGTTTGTTAGAACTTTGCTGCTACATCAATTTGTAACATACAATAAGAATCATGCTTGGGAAAAGTTGTGTGAGGAGGCTACTCAAAGTGAAATGTTTGAGACCAAAAGTACACCCTTGAAATAATCCTGTGTACAATGAAGTAGTTGAATTAAAATATAACAACAGACAAAACAATGCTAACTTGACTTGAACTCATGAAAATAGAACCATTATCATTAGTTCAGGAAAAAAGAACAAAAAATAAGACTGTTTTATTCACACAAACCTTCATTTGAAATAGTCAAGAAATCCCCTATATTATTATTTGTTATTTTCCAAAATAAAAGTAAAAACAAATCATATGTGCATATATATATATATATATATATATATATATACATATATATACATACTGTAAAAACCCTTTAATGGACTAAATGAGGGAAAATGGAAGTTACGCCAAACAAGGTTCAGAAAAGTAGACCTCCCCCCATCTTGCCATTCATTCAATTCCCCTACAGTCCACTTTGTGTGCTGCCAATGGGGATGATCTCAATGAAAGCAACCATGTTCCAGATCCTGCATACAAACCCCAAGAACACCCCCCCACCCCTCCTTTAATTTTAATTTTTTAATTTCTCACTATACACACACAAGTCAAAGTCAAGAAAGATGCAGTAGCAGCAAGCATGGGAGAGAGCCCCAACCTACAAGCCAACTCCTGGTTGCTTTATTGATGACACCACTCCACCCCCCTCTTGTTATTTTTATTTTTACCCACCCCCCCCAAAACAAACCATACACACACACATAAACACAAACATAAACAAACAAACAGGGCTACAATACAAGAAGCTCACAAGTATTACACAGTAGTAGCAAAATGAAGCTACAGTAGTAGTGCCTAGTTGTTGCAAAGAGGAGCAGCAGCAGCAGCAGGTGGGTTTCTCGCCTTTCTCCCACGAAGTTTTTGCGTTCGCAGCATGCGCGCGCGCTGCGAGGAGAAGTGGACATGATCTCCCACGCGGGATCCCATAATCTTTGGCGAAGGAAAACGGCAGAGCCGCGACCAAAAGGTAATATGCTTTGACAGGCTCGGAGCTGGAGCGCGATGGCTTCGCCGCAACCGGGGATATATTGTCGCGGAGACAAATCGAGACAGGCGGGCAGGCAGGCAGGGCAGGTAGGCAGGAATCGGGTAGTATTAGCAGTAGTAGTTGTAGTTGGGCGATGGGGGATATGGGTAGAGGAATCGGGCCCCTCATCACGCTTGCGATGACAGGGTGCATCACTGGAGCGAGCGATTCCAGGCCCTCCTCTTACTTACTTACCGTGTGGGACCCAACCCCCTCGCTGGCTCCGTTACGGCAGCCCGGCCAGGGTGCTCCAGCCAGGCATCCATGTGCACCGAATACCCCTTTCGCATTACTGCAGTAATGCTTATACTATTCTGCAGCTCTCAGGAATCAGCATGCCTGATATCCCCTTCCACGAGCCACAGTACTACATAGTATACACTCTCCACTCGTTCCTTGTCGTCCTCCCTGTGCGCCTGTGAACGAGCGAGTGAGTGTGTGAGTGCGTGAGTGAGTGGATCCACGCTTTCATGTTCGGGGTGAGTTCGTGCTTGCACTCCAAGTTACGTCTCGCTTTTGGTCGGTCCTTGTGTAAGCTTGGTTTTGTGTGTGTGTGCTTGCTGCTGTTTCTTTGTGGATTCGTTGGCTGGGATTTGGTTTATGGTTTCTGGTACTTGTGTCGTTGGTGATGTAGAGAGCAGCTTTTGAGTTGTAGCGTGTGTCTGGAGTCTTGGGTCCTGCTTAGAGATTCAGGCTGGAAGGAAAATATGTGTGGTGGTCAGTCCAATTCTCCTATTTGCTTGTTTGTGGATTTGGAGGAAGTCTGCAGGTGAGTGGACAGTGTGTCGAATGCTGATTTGCGTACTTGAGAAGTGAAACTTAGTGTGGAAATCAGTTAATTTTGTTAGAAGCATTGCGGTGTGGTGTGCCTCGGCTTAAGAAAGGAAATCTTACGGTCTTATGAAATCATGGAAGCTCGATTGTAGATCAATGTGGTTGTAGGCTGCGTGCATGGTAGATACATTTAGTCCAAGTTCCGAGGAATTTCCAGAGACTCCTCCGTAGGACTCAAGTGACGTAATTGGTGTTCGGCATATTATTTTATCTGTCTCTACGTGCACAAGTCTCTTAGCGGCGATTTTTCACTTCTTTTTATTTACGTTGTTTTTTCCTTTCTGTTTGTCACCTGTACTGAAGGAGTAAGACCTAGAAACGATGTGTTGCATAAATGGCTGTTTGGGAGATATTGAGAGATGCTTCATATGGCCAAATAAATTGGCTCACCTCTGGGCACTGATTTCCTGCACACTCTGTGACGTTGAAAAAACCCCATGTGCGTCCTATGTTGTCAAAAGATTGATATTAATCTTTTCATTTTATCTAGTGGAGAAAACAACGACTAACACATCAAATTTTCCCTCGTTCTCCTTAGATCCTCCCGAAAGTGCTACCTTGTGGAAGTTGAGAGTGACTACATTTCAATTCCAATTAAACTTCGACTAAGTTTTTTAGACTCCACCCCCCTGCGACTCCCAAGATGGCGACCGAAGGCGAGCACGTAGACAGCGCCGCTGAGGATCTCAAGAATGCAGCTAAGGAGGTTGAGGATAAACCGCAAGCTTCTGAAACTGACGGTGCTACTTCCGGGGATCATAAAGCATCGGAGTTTATCCATGACGTGGCACACATTGTGCTGGAAAAGAGCAACCAAGCCGCCGATTCTTCTAAAGAATACATTCATAATGTGGTTACAAAAGTGCAAGGCTATGCTGATAAAGTTTCTAGTGGAGCTGGCGGCTCGGCGTCCAATATGCAAGGAATGCTCTCTAAGGCTGTCCATGTCGGCGCTTACCCTGGAAGTACCACGGGCACTGCAGGCGAGGGCGAATCCTCCTCGGTAGGTTTGCCAACCCAAGGATTCAATCAAATAACAACTCGCATAATCCTTCAAGTCTACTAGGAACTTACAACATGGTATACTTCACATTGAGTATAAGTGTTTTGCAAGTCCCGCAAAGAGACTGAGCCATTGCTTTGATTGTGAATCTGCAATTTCAGGGCACGGATGGGGGCCTTTTCACGTCTGTGGCGACGTGGTGCTCGTCGCTTTGCGGCTCTAAGGATGCAGATGGCGAGCCCCGCAACATTGATTTCCGAGCTGCTGCGGAGAATATCACGCATGTTTTGCAATCCAGCACCACATCCTCCTCGCCATCGCCGTATGCTGTAACCCCAGCTGAGACACTACCTGAACCATCTGAACCTGAGAAGCCCAAGGCTTCAGAGTGAAGGTTTTCAATGTAATCACTTAAGGTGAGGATAACCTTGCTGGAGCACCTTTGGTTTTGGTTTTTCTTTTTTCCTCACTTCGCGTGTTATTTTTCTCATCACATGTGAGCTTTTGGCCACTAAAGTTTATAACTCTGATATCTGGTCGTTTGTAGTTGAATTTGGTCCAGCGCGGATGGATCTTCTGATTGGAGGCAAAGCATCCTGAATTGAGCTTTGATGTGCGTGTACGCTAATTCACCTTGATAATTCAGGATGATTGCCGAGGTGGCCATTGTGTATCAGCTCACCCAATTTCAATGCCCGAAATGGGGTTTTCATGTCACCAAGTTTCACAGAATTAGCTAGAGCTTAGTCCATTGGTAGCCACTTGTACTTTTTTTAGTTGATATGAGTAAAATCTTCGATGGTGATTAGGGGAAGATGGTTGTAATTCTGTGTCGTTTAAGTGTATTAGGCTCTGATTCCGTGTTCATTGTGCTAGGGTCAGACATTTGAATTTCAAATGTGTAAATACAAGCGATGGCTTCCAGTTGTTCGATCTCAACCTCAGGTCATTTGAGTTACTCTGTTCTGTCTGCACGAATTTTAGCACTACCGGTATTTCTGTGCAAGTTGATGCACATGATAATAAAGGATCACGACATCTGTGTTGTTGATCGACCCTTGCCGTGTTACAGTTTGTCTGTACACACAATCGTTGTAAGATGAGAATTCCAAATGAAAAAGCTTAAACTCTTTTTGAAAGATTAAATAGCTTTAACCAACTTTAGGGGAATGATTCTGGATACTGTTCCAGACGCGGAGGTCACCTGGAATTCTGAAAAGCGCCATGTGCGAGGTTATCTGTGCATGGAAAAGGTTAGTTGGAGTGTAATGTATTAGTGACTTCCAACACTCCCATCATTCATGAATGTGCCAGTTTGAAATGGCTGTGGCTTCATTTTTAGTGCATTGTCTAGCCAGCGATTCTCATTTGACATCGGGGAATACTTTCGTTACTCAATCCACTTTGGATTATATGTAGATTTTGAATGATGAGATTAGTCCACGTCAATTCCAAGATATCGTCTAGTGAGGTGTATTCCTTTTGTTAAGAATATCTGTCCAGAAGAGATGCACCAAGAGATGTCGAAATGCTCATCTTCCTCCACTCAAAGCAGTGGAACGACAGCTGGGATCTCATCTTGATAATGTCCAGGAACTCTTCGATCTAATCAACCCACTGCATGTTTGTTCAATTCGATCTGTGCAACCAGCAATTTAATCAACGAGAACTTCGGCCTTACGTTCCCAGTCAAACCTTGACCTGTCCTGGCCATAAGTTTAATGGTATATTCGACTTCGCATGCAATACTGTCTCGGCTACATGGAAACACAAATAACACACAAGTTGTTGAGTTATTCTAGCCATTGATGAGCCCAGTATCATTAACTTTCCATTTCATCTCGAACATTAAACTTGTATTCAAAATAATGCACCATGTCCAAACTGCCTAATTGCACACTGTAGAAGGTTGAGGTAGAAGGTCTGTCTGCACGAGCTGAACAGTTTCTGCTCTGAGTTCATGTTCTGTGTTAGACTCCGAGAATTTCAGGATGATATTAGCGAAAGCCTTAATATTATGCGATAGGTTGCCACCATTTATGCATCTTTGGATCTTCTGAAATAAACCACCGTCATATGAATCCAGATCAGATTCTGACGTGCTAGAAAGTTCTGTGTTGCACGACGCAGTTCTACTAGATTCGACATGTTTCGAATTCGGAAGGGAACCTGTGATTCACACAAGGTGGACCACCACTGGGGCATACATCAACCTACACAACAAAGTTGCATTAAGCATACATACGACTCGGTTATCAGACAGTCTGATCAGTTGATAGCTGTAAATGCTACAGCTGTTACAGTATCAGCGGATCCGCTAATTCACTAATTCAAGGTTGAGAAGACTCCAGGGATTGAGTCTAGAATCTAGCAGAGCGAGAGTAGAAGTTTGTAAAGTAGCAAACAGTGAAAGTGGACCCAAAAACAGTAGAATCATATTCTTGCAGGTGAGATTCATCATCTTCGACTTTCTCTCTGTATTGTATATGGAATCTACCTTATTTGAACTGGTCGTCTGCAGCATGCGTAACGTTATTAACAAAGATATTCGTTTTGTTTTATCAAATACCTTTGAGACAAGGTTATATGGTACCAGAAAATGGACAAAATCCTCTCTAATCTGGGCAGCTTGCTTTCCAAGTAACGTGTCGTGGGTCGATATGGAAACTTACCCACTAGATAATCACGTTGAAATCTTCTGACTGTTATTCTCTAACCGATTTCTTTGGAAACTTGTTACCATAAATCTGGATCATGACAACATTTGCTGGAATTGTTGTGTTGGAGTCTTGACGTATGGGTGGTATGAGCAACAAGGGTGGAGTGCACTTGTTTCTGAACTGTGTGTATGTGCGTGTGTGTGGATATATATATATATATATATATATCTAAAGTGCTTAGGGTCCTCAGTTTGTTGCTTTGAAAAAGAAACATTATTTAATGTATGGTAATGTGGTGAAGTAATCTAGTGGCTGTCATGATGGTTGTGGGAATTGAATCCACGCTACTTTGAGCTGTGACCTAAGATTCCTAAGATTATTTAGTAAATTTGTTTCATAGAAATCTACATATTTCCACTGTTTCAGAATTGATTATGTATATTATTACAACGGACTGGAAAATGTACTTAGAACTATTATCCATACATACATACATACATACATACATACATAGTTTACAATCTTGAAAATGAAGAACGTTGGTATATTGTTACAACATTGCAACATTAAGAAGAATTAAAAGAGAGTTAATGATTTAAATAAAATTTCTTAAATTTGTTTCAGAATCAAAAAATTCATGATAGTTAAAAAAATAAACCAACTGTTGGATTCTTATTTTTATTACTTTTACATGAATATATATATATATATATATATATATATATTCCAACTAATTTGTAATTATTCATACTTTTATAAATTAAATCATTATTCAAACCTTGGAATAATTACAAAGTAGTTGACATTTAAGAAAATTATACTACCATTTAATAAGTATAATTACATCTTTTGGTTGTTTTTGCTAAACCTATATGTGATCTGCACATGCAGTTTTTATAAAATACATGTTTAAGTATTTTAATTTGCCTTTTAGATTGACAAAAAACATAACTCCAAATGGTAATCTGATGTGTTTATTTATTTATTGTTTTGAGAAGACAAAATTTACTTCTAAGTTTGAGATCAAAATTTGACATAGAAAATCTTATTATCCTATAAAGTTTAAAATCAAATGGTGATAAATAACTTAGAAGTTTTGTAGACAAAATCAATCCTGACTGGCTATATTTGTGTCAGTGTGTCGAAATAATCAATTATCTCAAAGCTAATTCTAGATCCTTTTTTCTTAAATACAATTCTAACAACTTGTCTTAAAAGAAAACTAGTTTGCCTTTCTGGCACCAGTTACTAAGTTTTCAAATTTAATTCACAAGAAAATCAACAGGCATTTTTATTTCTGATGTATATCTTAAAATTATTATGTTTATTTCTTTCGTGAATGAAACACCATTTTTTTTTTTTTTTTTTTTTTTTTTTAATTTTTTATTCCCATCAATTCTGTAAAAAAACAGCCCTTTTCTCAAGAAAATCTACCATAGAAATTACTGAAAAACTCTTTAATTTAACTCATAAATATCCAACCGTCTACTTAATCACATAATATCAAATGTATAAAAGATATTATTCATCGTCAATTCTGGTGCTTGTCAATTCTGTCCAAACGAGCCATTAATATATTATATTGACTAAATAAGTACAAAAAGTAAATCATACACGTAAAGATAGGACAAAAGAGGTAGATTTCCTACACAATAAATGATAAAAAAATAGGATGTAATGTTAATGTTAATGAAAAAATAGGACGTAATGTTAAATATTTGAGCTTGAACTTGACCCAATTCAAGGTTGAATTCTCCTATGTTTTATTTTATGTTACGGAGGTGTTTTTGCATCTGCTTCTTCACGTTGCTTGCGTGGAGACTGGCTGACCTTGCTCATGACCTCGCTTGCACCTACTGATGTGCAGTGCGGAGCAAAAGTAAGGGAAGAATCAGAGGCAGATAGCAGTTTATAAGTACCTGGAACTACCAACGGTGGCTCTACTCTGGAACAGTTTGAACCATTTTCCTATTATTGGGTGTAACAAATTTGCTCGACGTCGTTGAGATGCACGGGGTATCTGTCGATGCATTGAGCCCAGCACGAACGCGGGGACGGCTCAATGGATCGCAGTGCTTCCCAGACAGCGCTGTTGCACTTGAAGCCGCTTCCGAAAGCGATTTGCCAGACTTTATGGCCCTTCTTCACTCGCCCCTTGGATTCTGTGTACGCGAGCACTTACCAGATGGACGAGGACGATGTGTTGCCGAATCTGTGAAGCGTCATGCGAGACGGCTCGCAATGCTCTGGGTCCAGCTTCAAAGTTCTCTCGATCTTGTCAATGACGGCTCGTCCTCCGGCGTGCATGCAGATATGGTTGAACGCCTGCTTGAAGTCGGGAATGTAGGGCTTCACATCCATTTTGAGCACCTTGTGCGCTACGAGGGAGCTGATGAACCGCGCTTGCTCCGAAAAAGGCAGCACCAGGGGGCCCAATGTGGTGATATTAGCCTTCAAGGCTTCCCCTGCAATCGTCATGAGGTCCCTGGACAACGTGACTCCCACCTTCCCTTTATCATCCTCCTCCTGGAACACGCACTTGTAGCAATTGTCGTCTGCGCCTTTGTGCGTCCTCACGACGTGGTGCAGCTTATACTTGGACACCCTCTTGTCTTTCCTCTTGTTCGAGAGAAGAATCGCAGCGCCACCGACACGGAAGAGGCAGTTGGGGATGAGCATGACCTTCCGCTCGCCAGTGTACCAGTTCAGAGTGATATTCTTCGTGGTGACCACGATGGCGTATGTATTCCCGTGCACTTGCAACATGTCTTTCGCGACGTCAATCGCAATAACCCCAGCGCTGCATCCCATCCCCCCCAGATTGTACGTGCGGATGTTGCCCCGCATTTTGTATTTGTTCACGATCATTGAGGAGAGGGAAGGGGTAGGGCAGAAAATGGAGCAATTCACCACTAGGATACCCACATCCTTGGGCTTGATCGTCGTAGTTGCAAAAAGCTCGTCCAAATAGCCAAACATGACAGTGTTGGACTCCTCCCGCGCTGCCCTCATCGAAGGATTGGGTGGAATTTCGAACATGGATGGGGGGAAATAGGATTCATCCCCCACACCGGATCTGTCCAGGATTTTCTCCTGGAATTCCACGCCCTTTTCGTCGAAGTAGCCCGTCATCCGGAGACGCTCCATGAACAAGCTCTTGGGCACCTTGCACTTGGAATCCGCAACGTAGCAGGCAAAATCTATCAGGTAGATGGGTCGCGGCCTCCACATCATATACAACGTCCCGACAAAGACGAGCCACGCGGTACAGGCAATCAAGTTGACGATGTTAAACTGCAGATTCTCCCGCAGCTGCCATGCGTCGTCAGGAATCCTGTGTCTGGCCCCCAGGAAAGTCCCAAGCAGCAGAGGAACGGAGAAGAGCTTGACTAGGTGCCTGATCAAGTAGTCATACCCCGGTT